CGTCAGCTGGCATCAGTTCCAACACTGTGTCGACTCCACTGTCGACTACGGTGTGCTTCTGGAGACGCCTGAAGACGTTGACCAGTGTCTGAATTCCATCGAGGAGCCGATATCCCGAGCTAGGGAACAACACGTGCCAGTATCCAGACAGGCGAGCAATAATCTGAACCTTGACAGATCTACCAAAGACCTTATAAGACTCCGTAACACCATCCGAAGGCAGTACCAACGCTCTGGTCTGCCTGTCCTTAAGGCCCACTGTAATCGCCTAACAAAAACCATCCATGGACCTCATAAATCAGGACGTTGCTAACAGGATCGGCTCTCTCCCAGATTGTGGAAAGCCCTTTTGGAAACTAACCAAAATTCTTAAAAATAAGCCAAGACCCATTCCACCACTGACCCCACTGGATAGTCCCGGCGACCTGATAACTCCTGAAGAGAAGGCTGCCGCGATAGGTCAACACTTCGTCAGCTCTTATAATCTCGGACAAAACATCGTCAGCCCTCACGAAGCTGAGGTTGCTGAAAACGAAACCAACCTCCATCAGATTCCCAATATTTTTCCAAGGAATCCGAGATTATTGCTGATGAACTGTTGGCCTACATCAAATCATCTAAAAACATCAAGGCCCCAGGTTTCGACAACATCCTGAATCTGGAACTCAAACACTTGATTTCCAGATTCTACAACCATCTGGCACTGATTTTTAATCTGTGCCTCCGACTTGGCTGCTTTCCCTCGTGCTGGAAGTCATCTAAAGTCATACCCATCCGGAAACCTGGGAAGGATCCGTCCTCTCCTTCAAGTTATCGACCAATCAGCCTTCTCTCAGAGTTATCAAAACTGTTCGAAAGAGCAGTGTACCACCGGCTCCTAACATCTGCCTAATATCGCAGAAAACAAAGGAAAAAAGTCGTACGTTGGAATGAAAAAAAAAATCACAATTTTAATTTTTTTTTCAAAAATTTAGTAATATTTTTCAGTGTATTTTTTTTCCTTTAAATTTCAATCAATTCTTTTCAACTTCTTCTTAGACACAATTTGAACGCAGTGGTTCAACTCCCCCCAACAAAAAGACACAATTTTGATACAATAAGCGGTTTTAATAAACAGTAAGAATTTTTTAATTCATTAAAATTAATATGTAAAAACACATACGTCCTTTTAAAAAAATATTCTTGAGTCAAAATGTTCTCGTGAGCTGTAGAAAAGTCATAATCTCCAATGCTGAAAACATGTTGAAAGTTTCTTGCAGATCGGAAAGAGTCGTGCCAGATTTTGACTTTTTCTGGCAGATTTCACCTGGAAATGTTCCTTTAAAAATGACTAAATTTATGTAACTCGACGATAATCATCAATACCCAGTACACATCACGAATCAACATGACATGAGTAGTAATTCAAGATATCCGGTTACCTGAACAGTTTCCTTTGAATAATCCACGAACCCAGTCCGGATTTCTATTAAATCAGTGTCATTAACTCGTAAAAGCCATGTAGCCGCACTAAAATCGCCCATAATTTAGCAACGCTTCCCACAATGTTACATAGATCTATCACACCCAATAACCATTTGGCAAATTTCACGTCCTTGCCTGGTGGCCTTTCTCACGGACCACTATTCAACTTCAACGCAGCCTTAATGTCTTAATATGAATATCGATTGCGCGCCTAATGAACTGCCATAAATAAACAAAACGCGGCTTTCTATAAAAGCCCATCTTCAAACCACCCCCCACACCTCTTATCCGAATACAAATCCGATCTATCGATCGATCGATCGACCGACCAACCGACCGATCGATGCTTGCACATATGGCACATGTGCGTGTCTCTGTTGTTTGATCAAGACAAAGCAGAAAAGCGTAAGCATTATGCAAATAAAATCGTCATTTTGAGCAAATCATCAAACAAACAACCAGATGTGAATAAACATTAGAGGAAGAAGATCGAACGAGCTCCGTTGGATTGGAGGAAGACAAAGATGAAGACAACAAAAATGTGGCTCTAATCTCTTTCCATTGTAGCACACGCGCGTTTCGTCAGGATTGGCCTCTTGAAGGATGATAAATCCTTACGTCCAGGTTGGAAGTTCATTCCACAGCGCTTGTTCAATTTAAACGATATTTCTACAGGTTCAACCCTGAAAATCTAGCGGGAAACGCGATGTGCCGCCAGCAGGTCTATGCCCTCTAGTATAAATGCAACATTACGAAAATGTCTACAAGGCACACATTGCTTATGCTTTTGTCAGGATTTCTCTCAGTCATGCATTTCTCGTTCGTTTTTTCTTCTGTCGTTTTCTAATGATCCCGATCAGCTGTGCCATATTGTGGTAAGAAGTGAGATTTTTTTCCTTCCTTCATTCTTAATGCTCGGAATTGCAGCTCATTCATGAGCAGAGGTGAGGTTTCCCTTTAAATTTTTAATCAAAAATCTTCGGAGGAAGGAACAACAAAAGCAAAAGGACGATTATGTTTACATATACTCGGCTTCAACGGAAAGGAATCGAATCAATTAGCTTTCCTTCAGAGTGCCGCTCGTTTTGGACTATATGGGTCGTTGGGATTGCGTCGATCTGATGGCAGCTGATCGAATCTGGCTCCGCCAGCTGGGGAGTATTGGCATCACCTTGAGATAATCCTGTTGCACACAGGAGCACTTGGTGTACTGTGGATTGAGAATCATATATTGTTGGAACGGAGATGGTCAAAGGTTCGGACCTTTAATAGCAAGCACCATACGGGCAAAACTATTGAAAATCATATTGATGCAAATATTTACGACGATTTCACGTTTCTATATTTACCCTCATTTCCCTCTTATGTTTGACTACAGCAGCAGATGGGGCCTATTCCTCGACAACTTTCGCCAAGGCGATTGTTATTTGACTCGGAATAATCCATCGGATAGTACAATGTTAGTGAGGAGCGACCCTGTATTGATGACCTCCGAAGATATTGTTGAGATTATTGACGAAACTTGTGCACTAATAGAAAACATGTGAAATGTACAAATCTGTAACTTTTTGACAGTGTTTCTTTGACACCTTTCTCTTAGCAGCTCATGTACATGGAACCATTTCCTGATCTCGTTGACGACCACCTCATTTTTCCAGTATAGGCACATAGTAGCTTAATTTAGTATCGCAGCTCGCACTTGCTCGGATTTACTGGCAATTTTCTGTAAAATCTACTTCAAGCAGTTACCAGATGGCTCGAGTTATGTGTCTCAATGAACACCCGTTTGTCTTGAATTGCAATTTTATTTTGACGTACGACTACGTCTTTGATTTCTATATGGGGGTACACTTTGTGAAAACCGAAAATGGAACATGTAACGAAATCATGAAAGATTTTGAACGTTAATTACTCAGCTGCCCCTGGATCAATTTCAATAATTTTATCACCAATTGATCAGAAATATTTCCACGCATCCACGCAATAATATTTTTCAACTATTAAAACTATTGAAACTATTGGAAAAGTGGTAAATGACAAGCATTGTCCAAAAGCATCGAAATATTTACTGATTCCTCAAAAAAGTCATCAGAGAATCGTTTCTGGACAAAACATGTCGATATAGCATTGCTGCTTCCCCAGTACTGTCAAAAGAGAGAGCTCAAGCAACACACGTCCATCATAATAAGTTGCTACAACTTGATTGTGACTGAAATAAGTCACATACTAGTAACCACAACTGTTCAGTGACAAGTGTGTTGCTAGGGAGTCGTTAGTAGACGAAACAAGTCGAAGTGACATTTGCCTGAGATCTTCGGGCGTGTGTGAATAGGGTGGATACAATTGCGTAACATTTTGCATACTCATTGCCTTATTCAGAACCACACCCCCCAACAACTACACAAAATGCTCTCCAGAGATGTAATCTTGTAACCAAACGTGATTTGATCGATCGATTTTCTATTTCGTTAATAACTCGACGTCAAACACATTCATTGATACGTTTGTTGTTCTGGATGATACAAGAGCATAGCAGAAATAGTGCGAAATAGTTTAGTGGTCATCAAAAGAGGGAATCGATGAAGAAAATTGACTTTCACCCCTCTGCTTCTAAGCCCCTTAATTCAGTCGTCGTCACAGCAATGAAAACTAGCATCGCACCGCTTCTTGGGTTAAACTTGCTGGTTGCAATTCTGCTGTTCGAAATTTTCAAAGGACCACCAAAAACATGAAATAAAGCTATTTTCTAGGGATGCCCAAAAGTCCAGTAATTCGATTAATCTATAATCGTAAAGATGTTTCCAGCTATTCGGTTAAATAATTATCAAATTTTCAATTATTCGAACAGGCATAAGGAGGAGAAGAATGCAGCACGGGTGAGAATGCTGCAACACCGCACGAGATTCAATGTGGAGCTATACAGACAAGCGCGGAACAGACAAAACTCGGTTTTTCGAAGGAAGAAGCGTCAGCAGGAAGACCGAGATCGCGAGGCGATGGAAAATCTGTACCGCGTAAACGACACACGGAAGTTCTACGAGAAGCTGAATAGTTCGCGCAAAGGCTACGTGCCGCAAGCCGATATGTGCAAGAACTTGGACGGTAACCTTCTCACGAACGAGTGTGAGGTGATTGAGAGGTGTAAGCAGTACTATGACGAGCACCTCAACGGTGAAGCAGCAGAAAACGAAGGTCGCACGGCAACAGACTTTGGAGCACGCGCAGAAGACGAGCGGCTACCGGTCCCTGATCTTCAAGAAGTTGAGGAGGAGATCGGTCGGCTGAAGAACAACAAAGCAACTGGTATAGATCAACTACCAAGTGAGCTAAAGGGTGTCCACGATGAAATTGCCACACTATGAAATTGCTCTAACTTTTTAACCGTTGGGTAGAATTTAATGAAAATTTGGGTGGATTTAGTTCATAGTGCATTATTTACAAAGTTTTAAAGTCCTGTGATCAAAACTCGCGGAAATGGAGTCGAAAGAACAGCTCGTGCGTGATAAAATCTTGCGCATTCATCACGAGAACAAGGATCTCTCGCATCGTTCCATCGCTAAAACGTTGGGAATCGCGAATTCCACGGTGTCGCGAGTGATTAAGCGGTTCGAGGAACGGTTGACCACCGATCGGAAGCCCAGAAGTGAAGGAAAAAGTATTCCGTACAACGTAGTTGGGGCTTTCAACCGAAATCCGAACGCCTCCGTTAGGGATGTGGCTAAGAAGCTGCACCTAAGCCGAAGTTTTGTCCAGAAGGCCAAAACTAAGGCTGGGCTTCGAACGTTCAAGGTACAAAAGGCCCCCAATCGCGACGAGAAGCAGAACAAGTCCGCCAAAACCCGTGCCAGGAAGTTGTACCTCAACATGCTGACGAAAGTTGAATGCTGCATCATGGACGACGAAACATATGTGAAGGCCGACTTCAAACAGATCCCCGGCAACCTGTTTTTCACGGCCAAGGATAAGTTCAGCGTTCCGGAGCATGTCCGCACTCAGAAGATGTCCAAATTTGCGAAGAAATTCCTGGTTTGGCAAGCCATCTGCACGTGCGGGAAGCGGAGTGCACCTTTCGTGACCCAGGACACGATGAACGGACAGGTGTACATAAAAGAGTGCCTCCAGAAGCGGCTGCTTCCTCTCCTGAAGGCCCACAATATCCCAACAATCTTCTGGCCGGATTTGGCCTCATGCCACTACTCCAAGGACGTGCTGAAGTGGTATGCGGACAATAAGGTCAATTTCGTGCCGAAAATGTTCAACCCTCCCAACACTCTGGAGCTCCGCCCATCGAGAAGTACTGGGCGATTATGAAGCAGCACCTTCTTAAACGACCTAAGGTAGTGAAGACAGTCGAGGAACTGAAGAAAGTATGGGTTTACATGCAAAAAACGGTTGATTCACAGGTTGTGCAGAATCTTATGGCCGGGGTTAAGGCCAAGGTGCAGGCATTTGCGTATGGACTGTAAATAAAATACGAGTAAAATGGTAAAATGAAGTTTAATAGTTATTTCTCAATCCCTGAAAATTTGATGGCAATCGGATGAAAACCCGAATTTTGCGAATCAATTTTGTGTGTGGCAATTTCATCGTGGACACCCTTTAGAGTAGAACTATGACGTGAAACAGGATCATAAATTCACCGAAAAAAGTGTTAAGCGTTTTTCTGATAAAGGATAAGATTTACCAACTTGTTGAGAGAAGGAGTTTAACGAGAAAATCTAAAAAGGGGAGGAGTTTTAGCTGGGTGGACACTGATATTCTGCGGCCTGTCACAGACACCAGTTCAACTCCTGTCCAGCAGCAGACGGGCCGAGACTCTTGCGAGTGCCCAATCATTGAACCGCAGAATATGGGATTGTCCGGCCCGATTTGCTGATTCAGCTGTCTACACGTCATCATCATCTTCCAAAGGCTTTGAGCCTGTACTACCATTGGCCCTTTTCAGGGCCACCAAGGTTTTCCAAAAAAGGTAAATTTCTGAACACGTCCCAACTAAAATTCATATCAAAAGGTTCTTTTCAGAGCAATCATAGTTATACTAAAGAGTATAAACAGAGAAAACCCCGCTCAAATTCCTATTCCTACACAAAACACAAGCTCTAGCTGCAGTTAACAAATAACATTTATTATAAAAGATCACGTAGTCCTACGTCACCATTGCCTACAACCCCATAGGGCTGTCCCTTGTAGTTTTATTTTTGCAATATATTTTTTTATAAAACATTCTAGTTGTTATCGGTCTTCTCTGAAATCATGACCCTGTCATAATCTCAGCGCTAGGTGGCATCGCTAGCTCGCGAATCGTTTTTACACTTACGTGACAGGCCGACAGTGTTTGAGCGACTTCCCTGCTGACGACATCCCACGTGCCCTCCTCTCGACACATCCCGAAGACATTCTCTGCGTTAAGGACAGGCATCGTCCTTCGTACTACTTCAAATCGAGGACAGTCGAAGACCACGTGCTCCAGCGTTTTGTCCACATTTCCAAACTCCGGACAGAGGGGGTAACGTGTCCGAAGCAACCGTGACCAGACAGGAACTGCGTCAGGTGGAAGTTTACCTCTCCATGCTTCCTGTTCACCCAGGTTAATAATGATTCTATTAACCGATGATGCCTTCTACTGTTATCCGCCGAGTCCCATTCCTATTGCAGATTAGTTATCGACTCCGCTCTCACCAATGTTCGTACTCCTCTGATTTCTCTCCGATAATAGCATTCGCTGTCCTCTGCCAGGGTGATGCTGATAGGGATCATTCTGGCTATAACGCATACTGCTTCCGACAAGATACTTCTGTACGCACTCCACGCTCGCATGACCATGCGCCGGTACGTACTGTTCATTTTCCTCAGATTTGCCTGATTTCTAGCGCTGCAACCCAGGCTGGACCTCCATAGCTCATTATAGACGTCTCTTGTTACTACTTGGTCCAGAATTGTTCGACATGATTCTTGCTACCGCTGGACCTTCGTCACCTTCTCGCAGGCTTATTCGAGGTGGCTATTGACGTTTAGTCAGTCGTCGATCATCATTCCCAGGTATTTCAGTACGCGCTTCGAAGTTATGGCGTGCTCCACGACGGTTATTTCTGCCCGCTATACCGCTTTGCAGTTGCAGACCAATAACACTTCCGTTTTATTGTGGGCCATCTGCAACTTCGCTCCTTCCTTCCAGTTACCAATCGTGTCGACCAGCTCGGTCGCCAACATTTCCACCTCTTCCAGCGTCTCGCCTGTTACCGTCAAGACGACGTCGTCCACACAGTCAACGATTTCGACTCCTTTGGGCAGCTTCAGAGTCAGCACGCCGTTGTACATCCCGTTCCAGAGCGTTGAACTAAGGATGAAGACTTGTGGATCTCCCACCGTGATCCAAATCGATCTTTGTCCCATGCCTGTCTCGTAGACCAGAACCAGGTTCTGAAAAATAACTCCTTAGAATCCTGCACGGGTAATCAGGGACCCTCATTCTATGCAGCGCTTCGGCGAACGCAATCTTGACGTCGCCTTCTGTTAGGACGCTTTCTCGACTCTCTCGACCACTGTTCGAAATGCATTCACCGTTGATCTCCCTTTCCGGAATACGAACTGCCTCTCCGACAATCCGTGCTCACTCTCCTTGCATTTCGTCAGCCTGTTTAGGATGATCCTCTGAAATATCTGTAGTCTGATTTCGGGGGACCGTTCTCAAAATGAATTTTCTTTTGGAGAAGGCTGTATCAAGAGTGAGTTTATTCAACTATCCAATTACACACGCATGCATGGTGAACTACTTGGAGCAACCTAGAAGTGCGATCGTGCAAAAAATATCGTAACTGCTTACAAAGCATATGTGCAGTTGGAGACCACAGTGCTTTGCCATCATGATACGATGATAGTTGATTTGTTTTGTTTTATCAAATATGCATCGCAGCTATGGCAGATTATGCACGAGTACGGATTTCCGGATAAACTGATCCAATTGGTGAAGGCAACGATGGATCGAGTGATGTGCGTTGTTTGAGTATCCAGGACACTCTCGAATCTCTTTGAATCTCGAATTGGGTAACGGCAACGTGATGGACTTTCGTGCTTGCTATTTAACATCGCGGTAAAAGGTGTGATCAGAAGAGCTGGGATAGACACGAGTGGCACGACCTGCAGGAAGGCCATCCAGCTTCTTGGCTTCGCCGATAACATCGACATCATGGCACGGAACTTTGAGACGATGACGGAAACGTACATCAGACTGAAGGCTGAAGCTAGGCGGATTGGACTTGTCATCAAAGCATCGAAGACAAAATACATTAGAGGAAGAGGTTCTAGGGAAGACAATGTTAGCCTCCAACCCCGAGCTCAGATTGACGGTGTCGAAATCGAGTTGGTGGATGAGTTCGTGTATTTGGGCTGGTGACCGCCGAAAATGATACCAGCAGAGAAATTCAAACACTCATCATCATGCTTTGGACTTCGGAGGACGCTCCAGTCAAATAAAATTCGCCATCGTACGAAGTTGAATGTCTACAAGACGCTGATTAGACCGGTGGTCCTCTACGACCAAGAGAGCTGGACTACCCAAGCCACATTGCAGGCTTTATCGAGGTTTTATTGCATTCTACAAGTCTAAATTATTGTCTACAGAACCCTCATAAAGCCAAAATTGTTGCTTGGGTATGCTCGTGGAGGACGAACGCGCCCTTTTGTGTTTTTGAACGGAAGGTGTTGCGCACCATCTACGGTGAAGTGCAGATGCATGACGAAACGTGGAGAAGGCGAATGAACCACAAATTGCACCAGCTGCTGGTAGAACCATCCATCCTCCTCACTGCAAAAATTGGTTAACTACGGTGGGCTGGACACGTCGTAAGAATGCCGGACGACAACCCTGTGAAAATGGTTCTGGAAAGCGACCCAACCGGAACAAGAAGAAGGCGACGTGCGGAATCTTCGCAGGCTACGAGGCTGGCGAAGTGTGGTCATGGATCGAGAAGAGTGGAGACGACTTCTTCGGACAGTAGAGGACAACAAAGCCTTAGCCTGATTGGCAAGGTAAGTAAGTATCGCAGCACTCGGGTAATGACCGTGTTGCTAGATTTGGGGAATGTACTACACCCCTCCAAGAGTTTTCCGAGTATATCCAGTAGACATATACAGCCATTCCCTAGCAAAACGATATAGCGGTTCTCAGAATTTCGTAACTTTTTTTTTTAGTTTTGTTCCTTATTGCAAAATATTGGACCCGTATTTTTTTATTTTGTCATTAGGGAGACCATTTGCATGTTAGGGTGGTCAAAAAATCGATTTTTTCAAAAATGACTTTTTTCAAAAATTCATAACATTTGAACCACTGGACCGATTTTAAAGATCAAAATATCAAAAGAAAGATAATCATAGCGACTATAACATGGCGATTTAGAGCGACTTTTACATGGTTACGATGGATGGTAGTCTAGTCGTATAGGTGTGAGCATGAGCATGAGCATTGACGACCAAAGATTTCAGTAGTTGCTACTCCGTGATTGACGAGATTTAGCGAAATTCGCACAAAGAACCATATGAATTGGGCTAGGGACTAGCAATCCATTCTCAGTGTACAAAATCCAGAGAATCCATATTTTTGAGGTCAATAACGGCGCCAGCCACGTCCCCTTACGGTCATCGGGGAGGGAAAGGATTGTTATTTCAACAAC